ATCATTCGTGGGGTTGATTCCGATGGAGATGGGTTTGTAAATTTTGAAAAATTACAGAGTGTGATGAAGGACACGCGCTCCCCTGGTTTGACCTCTCCAATAACATCATCACTTCAAACATTATTGAGGACATCATCAATCCCGAACTCATAAATAGTATTTTCTTAGGTTGCCAACGTTTTAGGCGCGGGGTACCTACCTCCCTTCCAACGTCCCAACCTCGTGCGTCCCTTCTCCGAGCACTTGTCATACTTAATAAGGACCTTCCCAATTCGGTTCCAACTTACCTAAATCGGTCTCAAACACCATAACTTTCTAAAGTCCAAGATTGTAAAGTCGGAAGTAGCGTATCTTGACTCAGGCATTATAATACCACACTATTAGCTTTTGGTAAATTGTAGTCCGGATATATGTATGGACTGTTATGAAAAGGGTGATTRGGAGTTCTTAATAAGATAGAATTTGTTATGTTAGGATAGATTTTGAGATGGATTAAGATAGACTACATAAATTCCTACAAAGAGTCTATGAATTTGAGTTTGAATAAGTTTGATATCTGTTTCAATCTATAAATATGATGTAATTATAACATTAATTAATGCAATTTTTCAAACTTTCCCTGTCTTCTATCATGGTATGAGAGTCAAAGGTTAGAATCTAGAGGCCTCCCACCATGCTTCCTATGACTCCAGTTGGTGGTCGGAATCGTAGCCACYCGTCGGGACCCCGCAGCCTCTTGTTTAATTAGCTCTCCATTCATATGCTTTTTTTTAGCAAATTCTATTTTAGCTTTTATTTGGGTTGGATAATGCAGAACATGGGAAACCCGGCGACGGAAGAAGAATTGTAGAATATGGCGAAGGTGATTGATTTGGACTGCTATGGGTTATTGATTTAAACATGTTTATTGACTTGAACACAAATTGGGTTGATTGGGTGGGTATGTGTAGAGGAGTTCAAGAGTATGATGATGGACGCGCGCTCTCCAGGTTCGTCCTCTCAAATAACGTCATCACTTCAAATATAATTGAGGACATCATCAATCCCGAACTCATAAATAGTACTTTTGTTTAGTTGCCAACGTTCTAGGCGCGGGGCCCCAACCTCCCTTCCAACGTCCCGAGCTCGTGCGTCTTTTCACTGAGCACTTGTCATACTCTATAAGGACCTTCCCAACTTACCTAGATCGGTCTCAAGCACCATAACTTTCTAAAGTCCAAGATTGTCAACTCGGAAGTAGCGTATCTTGACTCGGGCATTACAATACCAGGCTACTAGCTTTTGTTAAGCCGCAGTCCGGATATATGTATGGGTTGTTATGGTAAGGGTGATTATCAGTTCTTAATAAGATAGAATTTGTTATGTTATGATAGAGTTTGAAATGGATTAAAAAAGACTACATAGAATCCTACACTCATTAATGCAAATTTTCAAACTATCCTTGTCTTCTATCATGTTATGAGAGCCAAAGGTTTGAATCGAGCGGCTTCCTACCGTGCTTCCTATGTCTCTAGCTGGTGGCCGGAATCATTACCATCCGACGGGTCCTCGCTATTTCTTGTTTAACTTAGATTTCCATTCATATCTCTTTTTTATAGCCAATTCTAGTTTAGCTTTTACTTGGGTTCGATAATGGTGAACTTGGGAAACCCGGCGACGGAAGAAGAGTTGTCAAAGATGGCGAAGGTAGTTGATTTGGACGGCAATTGGAAACGTTCTAGGCGCTGGGTACCTACCTTCCTTCCAACGTCTCAAACGCGTGCGTCCTTTCATTGAGCACTTGTCATACTCTATAAGTCCCTTCCCAATTCGGTCACAACTTACCTATATCGGTCTCAAGCACCATAACTTTCTTAAGTCCAATATTTTCAAATCGGAAGTAGCATATCATGACTCGGGCATTATAATACCGTACTACTAGCTTTTGGTAAGTCACAGTCTGGATATAAGTATGGGCTGTTGTGATTAGGGTGATTAGCTCTTCTTTATAAGATAGAATTTGTTATGTTTAGATAGAGTTAGAAATGGATTAAAATGGACAACATAGTGTCCTCATAGAGTTTAAGAGTTTGTGTTTGAATAGGTTTAATATTTGTTTCAATCTATAAATATGATGTAATTATAACACTCATTAATGCATCTTTTCAAACTTTCCTTGTCTTCTATCATGGTATGAGAGCCAAAGGTTTGAATTTAAAAGCCTCCCTCCGTGCTTCTTATGTCTCTAGCGGGTGGCCGGAATCGTAGCCACCCGCCGGGTCCTTGCTGTTTCTTGTTTAATTTAGATTTCCATTCATATCTCTTTTTTATGGCCATATGTAGTTTAGCATTTACTTGGGTTCGATAATGGAGAATTTCGAAAACCCGACGACGAAAGAAGCGTTGCAGAAGATGGCGAAAGTGGTTGATTTGGACGGCAATTGGTTTATTGATTTAAAAAAGTTTATTGACTTGAACACGAATAGGGTTCATTCGGAAAATGTTGTAGAGGATCCGAGAAACGTGTCTACGATATTTAATGTAAATGGGAACGGGTCCATATCACTAGAAGAGTTGGAGAGGTACTCAGAAATCTGGGGGACGATAAGTGTTTGATCGCAGAATATAAGAAGATCATTCGTGGGGTTGATTCCGATGGAGATGGGTTGGTAAGTTTTGAAGAGTTCAAGAATATTATGATGGGCACGCGCTCTCCTTGTTCGTCCTCTCCAATAACATCATCACTATAAACATTATTGAGGACATCATCAAACCTGAACWCATAAATAGTATTTTCTTAGGTTGCCAACGTTCTAGGCGTGGGGTACCTACCTCCCTTCCAACGTCTCGAGCTCGTGCGTCCTTTCACCGAGCACTTGTCATACTTTATAAGTACCTTCCCAATTCGGTCCCAACTTACCTAGATCGTTCGGAAACACCATAACTTCTAAAGTCCAAGATTGTCAACTCGGAAGTAGCGTCTCTTGACTCGGGCATTATAATACCAAGCTACTAGCTTTTGGTAAGCCGCAGTCTGGATATATGTATGGGCTGTTAT